TTACACCATTCCAACAAGTCTTGACCGGGAGTATTTTCCTTCAACCTCGGCACATTCGCATCATTCTTTTTAAGATCCAACGGCTGCAGCGGCAGTCTCATTGTACTGTGCTCGATGTTTTTACTGGGGAAGATCAAACCTGTTACTTTCTTCATATTGCGATATTATTGCATATTATGAGGCAACTATTATCACTTTGAATATCTCTGAAATATTAGAATAGAAGAAAGAAATTTATTTAATAGAAATTATATGATAAAAAAGTGGTCGTCTTATTGCTATAACATTTTTTTCTAGGTAGAGTAGTTTTAAGAATCTAAACGTCATGTTTTTTTTTTTCTTTTGGATGGAATGTTTTTATATTTATTTTTAAATAGCGATTATTAGGAGCGACATAATCTCCGATGAAAGACAAAATCAATAGAGCTTAATTATGACACTAAAATATCTCATCAATGACTCATCAATGAGATCAAATATCTCATCAATGAGATGAGAAAAGTTTACATATATTGAAACTGTTTGAAGTGATGATATCGACGCAACATTGCGTTAGTGTCGTAAAACATCTTATGCTATATCGTATGATATAATGGTACGTACTCGTTTTCAACGGCTACACTATCTTTCACAGGTGACTTTTCTCGTAAAGGATCTCCGATCCCTGTTAGACTGACGTCGCGTATAAAATGTTCTCCGTCGTTTACGGGAGTTGTATCATCCTTCGACAGGCTCGCCACTGTTATAAACGATAATTACTGTACTGTCAACGAGTAGGAACAAAATTGTAAATAACTAAATAAATAAATAAATAACCAACTAAATAAATAAATAACTGACATAAAATCTTGACGCAGCGCGTTTCACAGAATCATTAAATTTGTCCTCAAATGCATAATTAATACATTTATGAGTATATAACTTTGTATCAATAGTACGTGCAAACATCAGGAATTACCGCTTATTGGAGTACTAGGTAATTCACTTTCGGTGAGACTGCTCGTCATTAAATCGAGCTGTGCAGAAATATCCAAGATCTCATCCAGATTCTTCACAGATACCTCTTCAACGTCTTCCGGTATGTCTTCATTATCGAAATCATCTAACGGCGCAATGTCACTGTTATTGTTAACTGACATTAAACTCGCCATACTTTGCATGTCTTCGTCCCTGGCAAATTAAAAATAATTAAAACTTTGTCCCGACCGAGCTGCACAAACGACAAACTCAACGACAAGTATTTTCTCAGAGGATTATGAAATTTAATTCCTTATGTTAGCATTTAATCGACGTTTACGCCAGACACATACATCTATTCAAGTTGACACTCGGACGGAATAGAAAAAGAGAGAAGAAAAATGTGTGTCTAAAGCGTGCTTGACGATTTTGACTTGTGAACAGCACGTGAACAGAACGTTTGGAAGACATAATTCCAATATACGGAGATAATTGTGAAATGTGCTGATAAAACTGAGTCACTAGCTTACGTAGCCTTGCCCTCTCGCAGAAATACACATGACAGAGTACACTCCAGTGTAGCACTAACAATCTTTTTAGAAGTAGGTTTCAAATCTAATTTGAGTTGTTGCTGACTAGATTCCAAGGTTGCATATTTTTTCATGTTTATATTAGTGGCGGCAACATGACGCCTCTTTCCCGTCGATGACACCTGTTCTCAATAATGGAATAATATATATTGTCAAAGTTGATTCTTCTTTAAACATGGCTATGTGACCACAAGTTATTATATGTTTCTTACATCTTCAATGACAAATGTCCAGTCTTTGTCTTCCAATTCATGTGTTCGTGGATCTTTAAATAATGTCACTGAAACTGTATGATTGTCAGGAACTGCCCAGCTAATGACACCCTTCAGTGGATCGCTCAGACTTGGCTCCCAATCTAAGGGCTCTGAATTAACCCTTCTGCTACGTCTTGTCCAAACAACGCTGAGTTTGTTCGGTTTCCTATAGATATTATAATATTTCAACAGTTTCTGTTGCTGACAAGAATTATTGTTTCAACATCTTAACAGAACATCACATAATATAACCAGCTTTAAAATCAAAGAATTATCTCAAATTATATATTATAATAAATGCAATTCAATTTGATCCAATACATAATTAATACATAATTTAATATCTTAGAGGTACAGCTTTGTAAATAAATTACAATCCTATGTAACACTAAAACAAAGCAGTCGAAAGCGAATGGTTTGTAATTTTTTTGAAAAATTACAGTAATTTATGACAATGTATTTACATATGATGCTTTACAACGCGATTCAATTGACGTTATACGAGTTGAGAAAAATGAACAGTTATTTTTCCTCATTATGCTCTCCCCAGCTTTATGTTTTTGTAAAATCTGCAATTTTGATCGTCCCGACAAAAATAGAAGCAAAAATTGTTAATCGTCAGTAGTTGTAGCATTCAACTATACTGTTATTATGTACTTTAACCAATGCAATTTACCCAATAATGAGATATCGGGGCGGACGCGTTACTTACCATTTCGTCGTCGTTTCAAGGGTGACCTCATGATAGGACACGGTGAACTGGAACTTCGCGGCGCGCTTGTTCACCCGCTGCAGACGTTTCCAGACGGAACTCATGTTTACCCCGCTGAAGCTGCGCCTCGTTCGTCGGTGGGACTTAGCTTGTCGATCGCTCACTAGTCGTGATGAGGCCCCACTACAGACACGTGAGCGAGACGCTGCGTCTCATCTCCACGAGGACGATTCGCGCGATACCGCTCGGATCTGTCAAGTCGACGCGAATTGCAGCACGATCGGCGGCTCATCCGCGGCGTTTGACGTTTGGCTCGATACGCTCCCGTTGGCCGAGGTGCGATCATATGTTCGATGGATGACGAGACCGTGTCGGGGAATCTTCGTTTACGCGAGCCGTTCCCCACGTTCTCCGAGCGTGCGAGCTGTCATTCTCGCGGCCCGCCGAGCGTAATACTCGGGTGAAAAAAACACGCACAATGTCGCGCTGAGACGACCTCACCTCAGATCACTTCCGCCGAATGATGCCGTCCACTTGTGACGAAACCAGACGAAATCGTTCTTCTCCCGAGTCCGAGAACCAGTGATGTCAGATGGTGAGATTTCTTGCGCGCCCGCGCACTAGCGAAAGCTTCACGTAGCTCGTAGTAGTAGAATACAGTTAGATGCTTATGTAGGATTCATATTGCACTCGTTTGCTGGCGTACGATACCGACGAGGTAACTAAAGATTGATAACTCTGGGTTAATTTCTCCGAACAGCGAAGCGGACTCGAGGAGTCCGGAGGTAATTGCAGAGAGGTGACATTATCGACTATTTTGGATCGTTTTATTTGATAATTTATAATTATCTTGCTGCTTATCGTTATGTATGTACAACAGGATTTCTATTAGATATTTATGTGATTAGATATTTATGTGAAACTGATATTTATGTGAAACTGGGTTTCTGCAGTTATCATCTAACAGCTAAGATTTACCGACAGGAGGTCATTAAATAATTCTCCGTTACGTTAAATTACATTAAATCAAGAGAATTCTTAATATTCTCATCGGTGTACATGATAATATCCAGTAAAAAAAACATTTATTGTTTCGGGTTTCTAGTTAGCAGCCCTTTTGTTTCGAAAACGTCGAATGTCGAAGCAGTGTGAATCCTGCATCACAGATTGCAGCACTTTTACCTGGATGAGTTTCGCAACGTATCGTGTATCAGGTGTATCCGATAAAAAAGCATTTGTTTTTTTAATAATTCTGAAGAGATATATTTTTCTACTGATTAAGGAACGCGTTGCAAAATTTATCGAAGTAAAAATATATAAAAAGTAAAAATATATAGAATTTGCACTTCACTCCATTTAACAACACCCCGTATCGTTGTTCGTATTATATAATAATAATTAAAGTATTGTGGAATGTTTAATAATCTTAAGAAATTTATTTTTTCAAGAAGAGCGATAAAATTGCGATAAACTTCAAAAAGAATGATAATTGATAAAAAGTACTACTAGAAGTTATCTATATATTCAATTAGAAGTTATCTATATCAAGATTAAAAACAAATAATTGATGAGATATTGTCACAGTCCTTACAATTAGAGGCAGAAGCGCGGAGAAACATACGCTTTACTTATATTTTATAACAACTGTATGCTTAGTTTTTCTTCTTTCTCAATTATATTTTTTTGTTCATCTTCACACTGATTGATTAAGTTTATATGATGGAATAGCGTGTGGATAATCATGTGACGTGCAGATAATTACATGCTTTGTCTGTTGTCTAACTGTTTTTTGTCTGTTGTTTCCCCTACTACAGTCACTACGAATCATTATGAAAATTAACAATAACAAGAGTATAAGACGAAAAACAGCCAGTCAGTATAAATCATTTATGTTATATAAGAAGATAAGGCTACTTGATTTATACCGAAGACATGACGAATAATAGCACACTTAAAATTATAGTGGTCGGTCTGATATATAAGCGAAGTGTTACTCAGTGAAACTTGTCATAGTGCGGAAAGACGTTTGCATGCGACGATTAGTGATTCAACGTGCGACGGATAATGATTTTATGCATTTTTTTATCGTATCGCGCAATTAGTTTTACATTTAACGACAAACAAAGGAATTTTCTTCTGTAACAAAGGTAACTTAGACAGCCAAAGTGCCATGAATAGTTTGCCTTTCTTATGTTAATTGAATCGTTCATTTCGAAAGTGATATATAAGTTCGCTTTTTTCCAATACATTAAAATAAGTTGTCGGAAGTTAAAATAGTTTATGCATCAAAATTTAAGTTGATTCGTAAACTAACGGCGTCTTTAAATGTATAATTTAATATTTTCAGCGTCAATTTTTTCATTCTATTCGAATCATGGGGTATTATGGAAAGATGATCAATCTATATTTTACGAGTGATTACTTTACGATATAAATTTCATTTAAAGGATGATCAATGTTTTTGTAATAAGTTGATATTTGAACGAAATTTTGTTCAAATGAAATTCTTCTCAAGTACACTGCTCAAAAGAATTATGGCATAGATAATTTATTGCCGAAAATTGGCCAACTTTGACTGGCGATTACTTCGCGAAAAATTATTGTTGACTAGTGATTATTTTTTTTCAAAATGAATACCCCTGACATCTGAGGGCATGTTTGATATACTGAAAATTGTAAACTTTGACGGAATGCACGGACGTGGATAATTTTTTTTCGGGGACGCTGTTTGTATCGTCATAAAGTTCAAATTTTCCCCTTCAATTTGAAAAAAAAATGGAATCGCTACAATTTTTTTTTTCGCAAAGTTACAACCCATCAAAAATATCGTTGTTTTTGGCCTTCGGGCCAAGTGTGCACGCATGTGTGTGTGTGTGTGTGTGTGTGTCCGTGATAGAACAGGTAACGACCCCGTGGTTTACAGGTTACGACAGTATAATTTATAGGGTACGACCTGTAACCTGTCGTACCCTGTAAATCACGGGGTCGTTATCTGTTCTATCACGGACACACACACACACACACACACATGCGTGCACACTTGGCCCGAAGGCCAAAAACAACGATATTTTTGATGGTAATAATTATTGACTGTGAAATTGACGAACCACGGGGGTTACAGAAGTTGGGGTGCATCGCATGCAAAAAATGGAGCTACATTCTTAAAGTAGAGATTTCAAGTTTCATTTTGAAAAAAAATAATCACTAGTCTACAATAATTTTTCGCGAAGTAATCGCCAGTCAAAGTTGGCCAATTTTCGGCAATAAATTATCTATGCCATAATTCTTTTGAGCAGTGTAGTTGCTTTAACTACTACAGTAGACTACTAAAGTTAACTACTAAAGTAGACTATATTTGGGCAATTTTTCTTAGTTTAGAGTAGACTAATACAAAATTTAATGATTATATTAATGCGAACAAATTACCTCTTTTGAGCTATACGCACATCTCAACAAGTGATTATTGAATCGCATGACACTAGGACTCAAAACTTAGAATCAATCCATTGAATCATATTATGTTACAAGACAGATTATAATAGAAGTTCTGAGCTGAAATATAACTATAAATATAGCGCGGCCGTAATTTTCTTTTTTCTTACTAGTTTTCTTACAGAGTACTTTTTTCTTACTAGTTCCCGATTTATTTCAAGAAATAATTCCATCTTGATTTGTAACAAGCAAAATTATCAAATTATCCCCTAATTAGACTCATATCACTTTCCAACTAAGCGACTCATTTATTAACGAGATTTAGAAATATATGAAATATCAAAAATTCAACACCTCTCCACACATAGCTTAAACATAAAAATGTATGAAATAATCGTTTAATCATGACATTACAGGCGAAAAGATCGATTAATCATGTTAATCGGGATTACAGTCGGTATTTTTGCCGTTGCTCTCACCTTAGTGTATATTTATTACAAGTATGTGCTGTTCAATTTCTGGCGTAAAAGAGGCGTATTTTATATTGAGCCTGTTGTACCAACTGGCAATGTGACTGATTTTGTAATTGGAAGATTGTCAGTAGGCAAGTATCGTTACATAATATTAATCGTATTTTCAATACTTAAAAAATCTGATTGTGAAATCGACTTCCCTTTTTTATATCTGACAAAATCACAATAACTTACTCCTATTCTTTTGAAATTTATGCGATTCTGCGTTTATATAGATTTTGCTATGTTCGGCTATCAGAGCAGAAATTTTGTAAACAGGTGAACTCTTTCAAGAAGCCTACATGAAATATAAGCATCATCGCGTCTTTGGGATGTACACATTTTTCAAGCCAAACCTGATGATCGCCGATCTCGATCTCATTCGAACGGTATTGACGAAAGAATTCGGCAGTTTCCACGATCGCGGAATGTTTTGTAACGAGAAAATCGACCCACTGTCTGGCCATTTATTTCTGTTGCCCGGGAAAAAGTGGCGGAATTTGCGCGTTAAATTAACGCCGACTTTCACGTCGGGAAAAATAAAACAGATGTTCATGGTCTTGAAAGAGTGCGGCGAAGAGTTCACGAAAAGTTTGGAGAGTAAAGCTCGCACGAAGGATGTTATCGAGATCAAAGATATATTTGCGAGGTAAGCTTCTATTAAGAGAACTTTATTAAAAAAAAACCTCCGAGTGTCAACGAAATATAGTTCAAAGGTACAAGGAATATTTTGTAAGTCTAAATATTCTTTTTTCTTTTATTTTAAATGTACATAATAATCTAATAATATATCTCGAGTCATTAATGTGTGTGTGTGTACGTCGCGTGCGTGAGTGAGTGTGCATATGATATAATATATGATATCGATTTATGTCATTTATGTTATCGGATGTTATCTAACACGCAATGAGCGAAACACGATTATATAACGTTTCAAAATAATTAATAACACTCGAAGATCAACAAAGTAATGTGATAACGCGTTGATACATCCAATTTCCATATAACAGTACTAGAAAAATAGAAAAATCTGTAACTATACGAAAGACACATGGCTTCACATGCACTACGTACTATTTAATGCGTTTAAACATTAAACGATGTTAAACGATGTCCAAATGAATTAACTGACGTGATTTAACGTGACTGAAGACGACAAAAAACGCATAAAGAAAATTTCAGTTAATTACACGCTTGTGCGTGTCAAAATAATACATCCTGATTTGCAATGTGTGGTTTGCCTTCATGATCATCTGAAGGAAACCTTCGTGTTCAAAATTGCATAATTGCTCATATATCCTTGTAACTTATAATGAGCTCATTAGAACTTACTACAATGATTTACGATTTATCATTTAATGATAGATATTCGACGGACATAATTATGTCGACGGCATTTGGTATAAAAGCCAACTGCCTAGTGGAGCCAAACAATGAATTTCGACGTTGGGGAAAGAAAACGTTCGAGGTGAATGCGTTTTGGAATGCTTTGATGATATTTGCACCACAAGTTCTGAATTTCTTTTCCATTCCTAATACGGATCGCGGCGTCAGCAAGTTCTTCATAAAAATATTTAAGGACAACGTCGAGTACAGGAAAGCTAACAACGTCGTCAGGCACGATTTCATGAATCTACTCATACAACTCATGGATAAAGGCTATGTTGAACCCGACGTTGATAAAGAAAACGATAAAGTAAATGAAACCGGTAAATATATTTCTTACAACATTGTGAAAAATTTCGCGCGTACAATGTTTTGCCTAGATAGCAATCAAGTGTGTGTCGAGTGTGAATCTGTTACTTAGAATTTATGATATAGATTTTTGACATGATAAAATCACTTCAAACCTATTTTAATCTTGAACTTTAACTTCAACAGTTAACACGAATAAACTCACTATGCTGGAAGCGACCGCACAAGCCTTCGTCTTCTTCTTAGCCGGCTTCGAGACCTCCTCGACAACTGCGACATTTTGTCTGTATGAGTTAGCTCTACATCAAGACATGCAGGATAAAGTCCGCCAAGAGATCGATGAGACGTTGGAAAAACACGGTGAACTGACTTACGATGCTATTAGCGAAATGACATATCTTCACAAGGTAGTTCAAGGCAAGTGCAATACTCACTCAGCACACCGTCAATAATTGTTTCCTCATAAAAAAACCACAAAGCTTCCTAATGATAAGCAGTTATATTTTCCAAAGAATATCTCCACGTGATTTTTTATCCGTACAGAGTCCTTGCGGAAATATCCACCGGTACCTATCTTGAATCGTGTCTGTACTAAGGAGATAGTCGTCCCGACAACAAACGTTCACGTGCCGGAAGGGACTCTGATCACCATATCAGTGCTTGGAGTGCAGCGAGATCCTTCGATATACCCAAACCCGGATAAATTTGATCCTGGACGTTTCGACGCGGACCAAGTAACAACGAGGCATCCTTACGCTTTTCTGCCGTTTGGCGAAGGACCGCGAGCCTGCATCGGTGAGAGCAAATCAACAAGATTCGATATCTTAATTTTTCTAGTATTCGTGTTTATAAAAATCTTAATATTTTTGACATTCGGTTTTAATATAGGATATCAGTTTTAAAAATTGATAGTTTAAGATTATGTGCGGAGAGCAAAGAATAAATCTATTATATTAGCAAGTTACTATTAACGCGTTGTATAGTTTGCTTCTTTTGTCTTCTGCGAGTCGATAAATGCTTCTTTAGATCATAGCACTGTCGATATATCGATGTTGTTAATTTTCAGGTACAAGGTTTGGGTACATACAAACAAAGGTTGGAATTATAAGTCTTCTGTCAAAATTCAAATTTAAACTGCATCCTCAAACTCCGGTACCATTACTTTTCAGTGAATCGCCAATTCCGCTCTCACCCAAGGGCGGTATACATCTTTTTATTGAATCGCGATAATCTAGTTGTGTTCGCACAACTTTTAAAGAAACTATATATCACTAAACTATATATCACTAAACCGAATATAATTTGAATGTCGTTTACATGTTTTAAAAGTATAAAACTTTTAAGATGTAAGGCTTGTGAAATAAAACTTGTAAAATAAAAGGTTCATAAAAATAAGAATAGCATTTGCATAATGGCTAAAAATATTACGACATTGAAATTTTTAAATCAGCAGATTACAAATTTCTGATTTTTCTTTCTTTATGTACGCATATCCAACTCTTCCTCACACATTATAATTCATCTTTAAGTCATGTAAGTATAATTCATTTTTAAGTCGACATCACCAGGTAAATTATATTTGAATTATGTTTTGCGACAAAGTAGTGTCGTAAATAATTATATATAACGCGGACTTTGTCCATCTATAAAATATTTTTATTGCAATAAATATCAACGATTTGCAATAAGTATCATCAGTGATTATAATAAAAGTGATTTGTCATTACGTTCAGTTGACAGAAAATCGTTAGACACAAAATGTCATGGGACTATTAAACGAATATTTTGTCATTTTTCAATATTTTCGAATGTTATATGATGAATATATCCAAGGATTGATTTAATATATAAGCGTGTTTATTGTCAGAACCCGGGAATTGCTAGAATATTAAGTCGACATCGACACGCAATTATACTTCTAGCGGCGTTCGGTATTTAGAATGCGCTTGGAATAGAGAAAACGATTTCGTAATTGGAACTTTGTTCATTATTATTCAAGTAGAATCGTAAAAAATTTGCTTGCAGGTATGCACAATGGATATGAATTGATTAATGATCTCGCAAAATTTCCGGTTGTGACATACACAATTAAATATACACACATGTAGAGGCCAATAAAAATATTGTAATCTCAGCATTAATTTCTTTTCTAACCAAGTTAACATGAGATCGAAAATGGAAAAATACAATGAACACTATATTTATGATATCGGAGTATCTTATATAAATCGTGATCATAAATACGTTATGATATTACGAATATCAAATTAACTGTCAAGATTGATCTGCTGAAATGAAGCAAACTTCACAGCTGAAGGCATAACATTTTTTTGCCATTTATAAATATTTTTTTATGATTGATAATCGATTCAGTCTATCAAATAAATTTATATTGATTTTTGAAAATATTTACTAAATTTTTATTTTGAAATTGGATTATATTATAGATAAAATATCGATTAGAATTTAAAAGGAATTTTATGAACAGGCGAATTTTATCAGAAAGCTTATATGAAGTATAAAGATCATTGTGTGTTTAGAATATATATGTTTTTAATCTGATAATTGCCATTGTCGACTTCATTAAAACGGCATTGACAAGAGAATCCAACAGTTTCTACGATCGTGGAATATTTCGTAACGAAAAGATAGATTTATGGTCAGGCATGTTATATTTTTTGTCCGGGAAAATAGTGAAGAGATCTATACTATCAAATTAATACCAACTTCAAGTTTGGAGAAGATAAGATAAATGTTTATGGCAGTGAGAAAGTATGACGAAGATTTATCTATTGAGAAGTTTAGAGATAACGGCTCGTAAGAAAAACTATCGAGGAAGATTTATTCGCGAGATCAAGTTTGCTTTATAAAATATCTTTATAAAATATGTCTTGTACTGCGAATGCGGGAATTTCAGATCACTCTGTACACATCATGTTAATGTCAAATTTACATCTTTATTCGGCGACAAGATTATCATAGGATTCATGAGAGACATGCACTATATATAAACAATTCTTAGCATGTATACATAATTTATAGCTCAATTACGTTTTACTTAAAACATTCTTTTTTACATATGACATTTATATGATGTATACAGGATGATCTGAAATTCTCGCATTCGGAGTACAGGACGTGTATATTTTATGCTAAAACAAACAGCTTTTTCCTTTAGCAAAATTGCGTTCGACAAGTAATTTTTGCAGGAGAACGTGTTAAAGTTAATGAATAAGCGCTCTTGTTTATATAGCGCTCAAGGCCGGCGCGCGCCTCACTCGCGTGTACCTAGTCAGTGACTGGTATTCATAAATAATATCTTTTAAGACGCTCATACGGCTCTGTTGTGATTATTTTACGACATCTTAAAACTCTGCTTAAGACAATTTTAAATAGTAAGAATCAACTATGAACAATACCGGGATTTTACAACTCGCATACAAAGCATATTATTATTTGCATATTACATTTGTTTTTATTTTCAGATGATATTGTGCAATCAGACAATTTTTTATTCATTTATTATGTAAGAAATAAAGGGAGTATTTATTTGATTAACTTTTCATTATTTAAGCAATACAATACGGAAGAAGGCCAAATCCCGGTATTGTTCATAGTTGATGAATACACTGACTAGGTACACGCGAGTGAGACGCGCGCGCCGGTCCTGAGCGCTACATAGATAAGAGCGTTTATTCATTAACTTTAACATGTTCTTCTGCAAAAATTACTGGTCGGACACAATTTTGCTGAAGGAAAAAGTTGTTTGTTTTAACATAAAATATCCACGTCCTGTACTCCGAATGCGAGAATTTCAGATCACCCTGTATAAGTGGCTACTAGTATACTAAATAGCACTACTAAAATACTCGCATTAATACAACATTGAGAATGAAAATGCAGAAGGCTCATTTTAATATATTAACATGTTCTGAAGCTTTAGAATCATTAATACCTACATTTTGGTTTGAATAGGATTTGGCCATTTGTTGCTTGATGCAGTTGGGGACGCAATGATTTAAGCAATGATTTAAAGAGAGGACTGAGAATTAATTATAATAAGATTTCATGAATCTACTCATACAATTTATGGAGAAAGACTACGTTGAAGCCAACGATAAAAAACCGCAGATATAATCAGTAAATATATTTTCTATTATACATTTCTTTCAACATTGTGGAAAATCTCGTGCGCACTGTATCTTGTTTATGTAAGCAATCACGTGAGTCGAGTGAACATGCTTCCGATTTCCTAGAATATTTTCGACATGATGAGATTGTTTTATAATCCTGAAATTTGATTTCAACACAGCTAACATAAAAAAACTCACCATGCTAGAAGCGATTGCACAAACTTTCGTCTTCTTCTTAGCCGACTTCGAAACCTCGTCCTATATATAGAGCTAGTTCATATAGACAATACGTCCTGCGACGTATTGTCTATATGAACTAGCTCTATATATAGGATATACAGGATGTAAAGTTCACCAGGAGATCGACGAGATGTTGAGAAAACATGGTGGATTGACTTACAACGCTGTGAACAAAACGACATTTTCACAAAATAATCTGGGGTGAGAGCAAATCGATCATTTGCATGATGTTTTCGTGCTTTTTGAAGGAAGAAGATTTGACATATTGATTTCTTTAAGTTTTTCGTATTTCTCATTTCTTTCCTTATGCACGCGTATCTAATTTGTCTTCGCACATTGTAATTAAATTTTTAATTGATATGGCCAAATAGATTATGTTTAAATTACGTTTCGCGGTAAAATAATGTAGTAAATAATTATATATAGCGCAGATTATAACAGGAAAATCACTGTTAATTTGTCAAATGTTTTTGTCAGTCTCCGATAAATATCAGCAATGGCAGTAATTAAAGGGACTTACCACTACTTGCTCAGTTAGCGTAAAGTCGTTAAATACAAGACGTCATGGGATTATCGAACGAATATTTTATCACTTTCCAATATTTTCGAATGTTGATGTGCGCTAAATGATAGCGAAACATGAGTAATATTGTGCATTGTTGTGAATTGTGTAAAATATCAGGCAAGTAATTGAAATGACGAATATTGGATTGACTTAATATATGAATGCGTTTAATTGTTAAAGTCCAGCAATTGATGTTTTAGAAAGTTGGACCTGCGTAGATATGCAGTTACCTCTGATGGCGTTTGGTATTTAGAGCGCGCTTGGAGTAAGGAAGATCATTTCTCGATCGGAACCTCTGACTGGAACGATCGGACCTTATTGATCATCATCAAAGCAAAACTATAAAAGCCCTACGCATATGTACGACAAACGTCAGTTGGTTGGTGAGTTCGTGAAGTTTTACGGTTGTGACGTACACAATTCGATATAAAAGCATGTGAAGCGGCCAATAAAAATATTGATCTTGGTATTATTAGGAGTACAAATAAGTTTCCGCCGTTTTCTATCAAAAATTAGGAATTTATTGTGAAAGAACGGTACATTACGTTTTATTCAAAGTACTGTCCATCACTAGCCATTACTTTTTCCCACCTTTTTGGCAGCATTCCGATACCACGTCGGAAGAACTCTTCATCTTTTGAGGCTATCCACGAATCGACCCAATTTTTAGTATCTTCATATGATGTAAAGCGCTGCTTAGACAGGCCATGTGCCATCGATCGGAACAAGTGATAATCGGAAGGGGCAATGTTTGGTGAATACGGCGGGTGGGGTAGGACTTCCCAATTAAGTGTTTCCAAATAGGTTTTGACCGGTTTTGCAACATGTCGCCGAGCGTTGTCATGTAGGAGAATAATTTTGTCGTGTCTGGAGTAGTAATGGGCGCGTTTTTCCTTGAGTACTCGGCTCAATCTCATTAATTGTGTTCGGTAGAGAGCTCCAGTAATGGTTTCGCTCGGTTTGAGCAACTCATAATACACGACACCAAGCTGATCCCACTAAATACACAGCATGAGTTTTTTTCCATGAATATTCGGTTTGGCTGTCGATGTTGAAGCATGGCCAGGTGGTCCCCATGATTTTCTCTTCTTTGGGTTATCGTGGATCCATTTTTCATCACCAGTGACTATACGATGCAAAAAACCCTTTCTTTTATGCCTGGCAAGCAGCACTTCACACGTGCAAAATCGGCGTTCAACGTCTCTCGGCTTCAGTTCATATAGAACCCAATTTCCTTGTTTTTGAATCATTCCCAACGATTTTAAACGATGTGAAATTGCTTGTTGAGTCACTTCTAATGTAAGTGCAAGTTCTTCTTGCGTTTGGCACGAATCTTCCTCCAATAATGCTTCCAATTCCGTGTCTTCGTACACTTTCGGCCTTCCACTACGTTCTTTGTCTTCCACGTAAAACTCACCGTTTTTAAACTTTTGAAACCACTCACAACTTCTCTCACTTAAAACAGTCTCACCATATGCTTCTACAAGCAATCGATGTGCCTCAGCTGCAGATTTCTTCAAATTAAAGAAGTAAATCAAAAGTTCCCGCAAATGACGCTTATTCGGCACAAAACTTGACATTTTCGCACGAAAAAAATTATGTGATGCTGATACGGAGTCACTAATACTTCAAGGTTATGTTGTTACCAGATATCCAAACTTACGATATTACGTTTTACATCTGACAATTTCAACATAACCTTCTGGTGGGGCCATCTTTTGTCAAACAGCGGAAACTTATTTGTACTCCTGATAGTTTTGACGGAGCCGCGCCAAGATTTTTTGTATTAAATATTTTTTATTGCATTGTTATAATAATTAATTTGTTATAATAACAAGTAAAATAACCATATAACTCAGGGTTTTAATAAATAATGATAAATTTTACTTGTAAAAATTTATGTTATGGAC